CATTAGATTCACAAAATTCAAAAAATTCCGTGGGAAAATATTCTCCACCTCCATCACTTCGTAATATCTTAATTATCTTATCCTTTTGTGTTTCTACCATGGCTTTATACACTTTAAACATATCAAAAGCCTGATATTTTGTCTTTAGCAAATTAACATAGGTAAAACGAGAACTATCATCAATGAAAGTTATGAAATACCTATTACCACCTCTAGTCAAATTTCCATTGAACTCACAAATATTAGAATGAACAAGTTTTAATATTTCAATATTTCTATCAACTTTAGGAAAAGGTTTTCTCTTCATTTTCGATTGCACACAAACTTCACATTTATCATGACTATCATTGCCATAAGAAATCATACCACTTTTTGACATAATTTTCATAGTCTTATAATTAGTATGTGCTAAACGATTATGCCATGAATAGAAAGAAACACATTCTACATTTTGCACAACAAAGTAAGCATAATTTTCAACTTTATTGATAGATAATTTGAACATTCCATCACAAGCATAGCCTTTTCCAACAAAGGTTCCAGCCTTAGATAGAATTACATTGTCAGATTCTATTACAACTTTCAAACCCTTCTTAGACAACATAAAACCAGAAATTAAATTCTTCCTAATTTGAGGCACATGAAGTACATTGGTGAGAATGACTTTCTTCCCAAAAGTAAATTGCACTTCAACCGTTCCAGAACCTTGGTCCTTGGAAGAATGATGATCACCCATAAGAACTTCATGATTAGGGGAAGAATCGGTATAGGTCTTGAAAAGAGCCTTATTGTTGTACACATATGTTGTAGTACTCGAATCACACCACCAATCATCACTAGTAGTGAGCGAAGCCATATGCATTTCTTGGATCATACCAATGTTTAATTCAGAAATCATGGCAACAATATCATTGGTGTTATTTTCTACAACATTTGCCTCACCACCTTCCTTCTGTTTTTTTGTCTTCTTAGGGTTCTTGCAATATTTTTTAATGTGCCCTTTTTCGCCACATTTGTAACAAACAACATCAGACAAATTCTTTCTAGGCTTTTTGTTGGAATTTTTCTGCTTATTTTGATTATTAGCCTTTCTTTTCTTGCCTCCCCCCTTCTGATCATTACTTACATAATTTACTTTGGAACTAGAACCACCATCTGATTTTTTATCACGATTTCGAGTTTCCTCTTCAATTCGTAAAATGAATCTGAATTTGTTCCAAAGTAAAATCCTCAGAAGTATGCAAAAGTTTCTTCCTATAATCATTCCAACTAGCGGGTAATTTTGCAATTATTCCCCCACAAGTAGTTTTTCTGGAATGATTATAGCAAGATCCTTAAATTTAGAGGCCAAGATAAGAAATTCATGCACTTGGTCTAATACAGATGAAGAATCATTCATAGTAAATTCAAAAAATTGCATAGTTATAAACTTATCTGCCCCTTGCTTTTTTGAATTATACATAGTTTCCAAAGAGTCCCGGATTTCCTTTGGATTCTTCATCGGTATGTAGAGATCATACAAACAGTCTGAAAGATGATTCAGAATATATCCTCTGCATAATGTTTGGTCCTCAACACATTTTTTGCGTTCAGCCTTCACAACATCAGTTTCATCTTCATTCAGTTCGGGAATGGGCTTAAGTTCAACGTCAAGGATGTAGAACAACTTCATTGTGATGAGAAAGAACTTCATGGTCTCCTTCCAACGAGTAAAATTGGAACCATCGAATCGATCAAGTTTCCTAGCGTCACCAACACTCTTCATGACATTCTCCATGACAAAATATTAAAATTGCTTTAAGATTGTTAGAAAATATTTATGGGGTTTAAGGATTAGGGACATGTTTACACTGTCCTTAAAGCAATTTTAACCCCCACTATGACTGCTATGGGTTACCGGTTAATATGCTTCCAGGATTTTCCCTAAGTTCGAGTCAATTAAAGCAATGTAATTGAACTCCCAAAAAACACTTTTAGAACAATTAGAATAGAAAAGGAAGAAGAAGATAAAAGTGAAAAGTAAGTTATAATTTTGGAGTCATTAAAATATATAATGAACGACCTTTTAATCCAAGAGTCACCATTCCCAAAAAATAATTATTTAAGATAATCTGACTTTTAATGAATAGTCACTATTATCCTAATCAATTTAACTGTAGGAAACTTACCGCTTACACTCGCCCGATCAGGCCAAGCCCGCCCGGTCGGGCAAATAAATGGACAAATCTTTTAATTAGGCTCACGCCCGATCGGGCAAAGCCAGCCCAGTCGGGCCATTTATACTTCTGAAAATAAGTTTGCTCTCGCGCCCGACCGGGCAAAGCCAACCCGATCGGGCCCATGGTCATAAACCATGACACACATTAAAATTTTATTCTGCTCCAAATATTAAACTTATAGACTAGCTCTAAGTTAATTTTTTCTATTTAACCAATGTGGGAGTTTCTTCCCAACATCAAGTTAAATAGAATAGAGTAACTTATACACTAGCTCCAAGCTAAACTTTTCTATTAAACCAATGTGGGAGTTTCTTCCCAACATCAAGTTAAATAGAATAGAGTAAGCTAATATCCTCTATTTAACTAATGTGGGAGTTTCTTTCCAGCATCAAGTTAAATAGAATAGAGTAAGCTAATATCCTCTATTCAACCAATGTGGGAGCTTTTTTCCAACAAGTTAAATAGAATTGAACAAGCTAACTTCTTCTATTCTACCAATGTGTGTGGGACTTCCATCCAACATTTAGCTATATAGACTAACCTATATAACCAACTTCTATTCTACCAATGTGGGACTAATTTCCCATCATTCACAAAACCTATTATGAAGACTACTCTAACAATCCCCCACTTAGTCTTCAAAATTGGGTATGTTCTTAACCAACAAAATTATGCATCGTTAATAGTGTACAAAATTTGTAACCAAGTCAAAACGTAGGGAGAGGCTAACCCCGCATAAAAACGAGGTATAAGCCCATCAAGCACTTCTTGCCCCTCTACAGAAAACCAAAAAAAAGGATCGAAGATAGTGTTGGTGGCAAGCAGCAAGGAGCGAAATTAGGGGCCAAAAATAATTTCATATTCAAGGGAAAAAGTTATAGTCAGGGAAATCGGGAAAGCAAGAAGAAGAAACGAGATACCAAAGGTGGTAAGCAATAGGGAGTAAAATAGGAGGGGAAAGATAATTTCATACCCACGGGCAAAAATGTTTCTTACTGTTCATAAGCACAATAACATGCATTTCTTACGTTTATATACGTAGTAGATATTACAATAAATATCAATATATCTCTTGATATTGATGTTATTAACTATAGTATCCTGTTATCTTTGGTATAATAGGATATTATGTTATATAAATATCTTTGATTCTAATTTAATTAATAGTTATATAGAATAATATATGAATATATCAAATATAATAATACAATAGTTTATAACATACAAAGTCAAGAGCATATCTTTTGACCACTCTAATAATTTAGCTTCTACTCTATAAATAACCCTTCATTTCCCTTTGACATCTATCTCTTGATGTCCCTTGGTCCCTCACACACTTTGAAAATAAAATGTCTATCAACCCTTTTGATCTCTTCATTTTCTTCTATCTTTTTCTCTTCATTTCCTCTTTCATATACTTCCTATTCCTCACATCCAAACCACCATCATTCTCAACAAAACATTCTAATACTACCATATCACATGGTCCTCCTTCTTACCCTATTATTGGCTGCCTTATCTCCTTTTACAAAAACAGGAAGAGGCTCTTAAACTGGTACACCGACCTCCTCTCCGAGTCACCGACACAAACAATTGTAGTGAGCCGGCTCGGAGAACGTAAGGTGATCGTAACAGCTAACCCGAAAAACGTTGAATACATTCTTAAAACAAACTTCCCTAACTTTCCAAAGGGTCAGTCGTTTACCGAAGTTTTAGGAGATCTTCTAGGTTATGGTATATTTAATGTTGATGGCGAATTATGGGCGAATTATGGGCGAATCAAAGGAAGTTAGCGAGCCACGAATTTACAACGAAATCGTTACGAGAATTTGTTGTAAAAATTTTAGAAGACGAAGTTGACGGTCGACTTATTCCATTGCTTCAACTTGCTGCTCATGAAAATAGAATCATTGATTTGCAGGTAAATTGTTATGTTTAATTAGTTGTTAATTATCCATGTTGATTACTTATATAACATATGTCATGTTATCATAGTTCTTTCCTTTTATTTTAAATAGGATTATTTTCATTTTACCACCCTTCAAATCACCCCTTTTTACACTAGTACATAACTAATCTTAAGTAACACCCAAAAAGTGTTACATAAAGTGGTAAAAGTGTTATTATAGACAATAGGTAACACTTTAGTGGGTGATACATCCGCCCATGTTACCTAAGGTCTTATGTAACACTTGGGTAACGTATCGTAACACTTTTAAAAGTGTTACTATAAACCCTCTTATGTAACACTTTTTAATAGTATAAGTATCATTTTTAAAGTGTTACTTTTTATTTCTTACGTAACACTTATGTATCTTTAGTAACACTTTTAATCATATAGTTACACTATCTGACATTGTGTAGCACTTTTACGAACTAATATAACACCTTGTTGATTATTAGGTAACACTTTTCAATCATCTTTTGACATATAGTATCACTATATTCGACATTATGTATCACTTTTTGCAAAGTAAGGTAGCACCTTGTTAATTTATTGGTAACATTTATTATTATTCACTAGTAGAAAGTGTAATGGGCACTAGTTCAAAACCGGCTTAGGGTTTCGGTTTTGAACCGGTGCCTTTTTGGGGGTTGCCCATGACAGAGGTTTTGGCCACCGGTTCAAGGGCCAAAATGGTGCCCTTAATGTCAATAAAGGGCACAAGTTCTTCCCTTGAACTGGTGCCCTTTATGCCCAGAAAAGAAAAAAAAAGTAATATTGATAGACAAACCATTATATATACATATATAAAACATAGATAATATTATTAATAAATGCTTGTAATATTACAATTACAACAAATAAATAAAAAATTACAATGTGCAAAACAATAACAGCTCGAAAACAGAACATCAGCAGCTCGGAAACAGAACAGCAGCAACTCGGAAGCTGAACATCAGCAGCACATAAGCCGACCAACAGCAACAGGCAACACCAGCAGCAGTAGCATCAAGCAAGCATCAAAACCTAAGGACATATACTTGCTATGAAGAAGTGGGCAAGAATTTACTTCTCTCTGCATTAATTCAGCTATAAGGAAACAGCTTAATACAACAGCTTATAAGTTGGAAGAATAGACAATATTACAGCTTATAACAACCCTTTCCTCTGATCATTCTAAAGTTTGGATCTGAATAACGCGAAGAAAAAAAAAATCTCTTCTTAAAAATAAACTTGTGGTACTGTTTGTGCCTTCAATAGAAACAGAGTGAGATGATACTTGCTACACATGTTCACTAGAAGTGTAGACTTCATGAGTGGTTCTTAAGGTATATGTTTTCATATGCAAGCTACTTAATGACTTATAAAACAAGTAAAAAGATATGCCAATGATAACTGACATGTGTGCTGTGCTAATAACTGTCATCAAATTGAATGTTGAATAGCATACTTAGACATACAACTAGGTCATTATCATGGGCGAGCATAACTTCATTTATAAATACACACCAGAAACAAGGGAGAGTATTAGAACCAAGTCCTAGTCTGAAGTTCATTATGAGATGTTAAATTTACAATTTACCAGGCTTATAGTCAATAATCACAGAGAGAAGAATGCAGTGTACCTTGAAACTGCTGCGGACTATATATTGAATTGTCAATCCCTTGAGCATGATAGATGATGCAATACTAGCAACTATCTGAATTGTTCTGGACTTGATCGAACATTGTTCAATATTCAGAGTTCAGACTATAAAGTCCTACATAGTAAGACCAAGAGAATTGATTTGAGTATTTCATGGAATTACTGAAACCAAATCAGAACATATAAAAAAAGAAAATTTTCACCTTTGCAGTTATACAATATGATGGACAGGTAAATTCCACAAGCATCACTCAAACGGTTTGCTGATATGTTTAGAACCTCTAATCGACTAAAAAGCACGGGGCACTCACATCACAAAATCTGAGAATACAAAAGAGAACGATATATAGAAAAATCAAATGTAAACTAAAAAGAAAAGACACTAGTACATAATTAACCTCAAGTAACACCCAATTGAAGGTTAGTGTGAATTTTGTAGGATGCTTTGAAACTCATTTAAATTTCTTCTTTGAAATTTTTAATGTCCACGATCAATTTTTTTTAATCTAATTGTGAAACAACACAATTTAGATTACCAAGTACTCCCATGGACATTATTGATTCATTTAAAAGTGCTAAAATTTTGTTGTCTTCTATTTTAAAGTTATTTTATTTACCAGTCACTTATCTGCTGTTCCTATTCATTGTTGTAAGATTCAGGCTCTCTATAGTTCTTATAATTCAAGTCCTTCATAGAAATAATTCATTTTGGGATCTATTGTATCTTGCTTATTGGATTCTGAAAATGGCTTGGAAAGGAGAAAACAAGCAGTTCAGTTCCAAGGAAATTGCTGAAAAATTCTGAAATTCAGGTGTGATAAAGATCCTTACATACAATGTGTGGTTCAGAGTAAACTTAGACGTGCATAAGAGGATGCAAGCTATCGCTGAGCTTATTCAGCTACACTCTCCTGATGTTATCTATTTTCAAGTTTCTTTTTGTGGTTTTACAAATTTCATGAGATAACTGCTATTTATTTCTATGATATCTAGCATATGTAACTTGTTTGTCTTTGGCTTTTTAGTAGGTCACTCCCAATATCTATGACATTTTTCAAAAGTCTATGTGGTGGAAGAAATATCAGTGTTCTGTCACCTCTCAAAGAGCATCCTATGAGATGTACTAATGCATTCAGATGATTAATCTCAATTCCCCTTAAAGACCTCTTCACTACGAAACATTTTCACTTGAAAACAGTTTCACTTGACTTAGCTTGTTCTAATTATATTCTAAAAAAGAAATTGCATTTAGATCAGAGAATTCTACACGAATTGCATCAAAACAGTCTAACATTACAGTTGTCATGGTCAACTTCACTACTTGTATCCAACCAAAAACAACATCAGTTAAAAAAAAAAAAAAAAAAAAAAAAAATCCAAAATTGAATTTGAACCCAACAATATGTCCAACCATATTTATCTAATAATTTTAATTAAAACTTTGACCAATTGTCTCCCAAAATTCTCACTAATTTAAAATCAAGATCACCCACATAGAGGGGGTGTGATGAATGACTTTCAAAATTTATTGATCAGAATAAACAAAAAATCATACTTCGTATAATTAGAAAGAATAAATCAATATAATATGATTGAAATTCAGGTTTCAATAAAATAAATCTTTAAATATCAGAGATAAAGGTACTGAAATAAATCAGAGGAGTTGGAGGTGAGCTATTGAAGAACTCCTTGGTTGATTAAAAAGAACTGATAATGAGACTAAAAGGCTGGTTCATTTCTACCTCAAATGCGGACAACTCTGCTCCACCCATGGTTATGTCTGCCATTGACAAACCTTTTTTAAAAACCTATAAGAATTCCCTTAAGATGTTGGTTGATTTCTGATCGAAATGCGAGCATCTCTACCTCGATCACCAGGCCCATTGCTATATATGGCCGCCACACTGACAAAACAATAAAAACCCAAGAAGTTTCGCCTTAGAGAAGAAATAAATGTATAAGAGAAATAAATTACTACAATTTGGAATTAATTAACTCAATCAAATGCCTATTTAAAACAACTATTTTCATCAAAACCATCATATACCCAAGAATAGAACAACAATTCACAAAATTGTAATAGAAAGAAGAAAATTTGAAGAAAAAGGGTGAAAGTCAAGTAATAGCGGAAATCAGAATGAATAACAAAACACTAATCGATAATCAAAATTACTTAATCTTTAAAAACCCTAAAATTTTACCCCTTGCATTGAATAAGCACCAAAAACACCCTAGATTGAAAATATTGACAATGCGAAATCAAATATCAAAGAAAACTCACAGCTTTCTATTGTTAAAAGTGGCGTGCTTTCTGCAGTTGACGCCGCTCTTTTGTTGGTCCATCTCGTCGGTGCTATTGACTGTGACGCGGGTCCTCCACCTGCTCCGTCCTCTTCCTTCGCAGCTTGTTTTGCCTCACCTTAGAGGAGAGAGAAGAAGACATTAAGTAAAAAGGGAAAACTGAAACCAAAACAGAGAAAAAAGAAAAAGAACGGACAAAAATGTCATTTGTTACTAGGGGTGATATAGAAATAAGGTTAGTGACTTAGTGTTAGCATATTTTTCAAAAAAAAAAAAAAAAAAAAAAGTTTAGTGTTACCCTAAAATGTTACCTATTTCAAAAGTGTTACTTTATAATGTTACTTATGATAAAAGTGTTACATTGAGTGTTACATTCTAAAAAAAATGTTACCAAAGTGTTACTTATAAATCTAATAATTTTGCATTTCAAAAAGTGTTACTAAAACGTGTTACATAAACTCAATTATGTACTAGTGTTATTTAGAAATTCTATGGTAGTCATCCACGACTGTTTTTGTTATACTAATTTTATATTGATTGATTTTTATTAATTTTTATGTCAAAATTAATTATAAATGTTTTTCTTATTTTTAAAATTTATATTTTTATTTTTATATATTTTCATAATTAATTTATGAATTATTTTCTAGTTTCAATAATATAAAAAGTGAATTTTGTAAATTAGTTACGATAATTATAAAAAAAAAAATTCAAAAACTATTTCAAATTTAATAAATGATTTTTAATTAATTTTGACATTAAAAAATCAAAATTAACTAATAAAAAATTAGTATACTGATAGTCATTTTCAGAATAACTACCATAAAATCATATGTTTTTTTTTATTTAACATCCTTTAACTTTATTTAAAAATATCATACATAAAATTACATTTCACCACCTTTTACCTTGATGCCGATTAACTTTCCGGCTGTGAGGTCCGTATAATGACTATTTTGACCATTTCAAAGTCTTTTTCTCCTACATTGACTACTTCTATTCTATTTATTTCAACAAAAACGTAACATGCATTTGGATGAATAAGACGAGCATTAAGCATTAAATTTTAATAATACTCCCTCCATTTTCTGATGTTAGTCTCATTTACACACTACTAGAAATAGGCCAATTACCGACGGACTGTTTTCGATGGACACATATTTCCGTCGGAAATTTCTGACGAATTTTAACAATCCGTCTAAAATCCGTCGGAAATTTCCAACGGAAATAAAAATCCGTCCCTTAATTATATAAAAAAAACCAACCCTCCCCTTAATCTCTGATCTTTTCTCTCTCTCTCCTCTCCTCTTTCCTCTCCTCTTCCCCCTTCTCTCTCCTCCCTCCTTCTCTCTCCTCCGTCCTCTCTTTCTCTCTCTTCTCCTTCTCCTTCCTTCATTTCTCTTCTCCTTCTCAGTTCTCCTCTCTCCTCCGCCCTCTCTTTCTCTCTCTTCTCCTTCTCCTTCCTTCATTTCTCTTCTCCTTCTTAGTTCTCCTCTCTTCTCCTTCTCCTTCTCACACCAACACCACCACCGCCGCTGCGCAATCAACACCACCACCATGAGTTTTGTTTTGATTATTTTGAAGGTTTTTTAGGCCAAATTCGACCATTAAAAGCCTAGATCTATGTTAAATTGTTTTGGTGGTGAAATTCGAAACCCATTTCAATTCAACGTATGTTTTATGTTTTAATTTTTCGCTTTTCTGAGTTTTTTTTCTTTGTTTTTTTAAAAAAATTTGGGTTTTGAGTTGTTGTGTGTGCGTGTGTGATGTGTGGGCTGGTGGTGGGTGGCGATTTGTGAATTTTTGGGTGGTTTCGTGGTTTCTGGCGTGGGTTAGGGTGATTAGGGTTTTGGTGGTTTCGTGGGTTTGGTGGCGTGGGTCTGGGTGGTGGTTGTGGGTGGCCGTTTGTTCTAGATCTGGGTGTTTTGGGTTTTTTTTGGGTGATTTCGGGTGGTTTCGGGTATTTTTGGGTGGTTTCGGGTTTCTGGGTGGTCTGGTTGGGTTTGGTGGCGTGGGTTAGGGTTAGTTAGGGTTTTGGTGGTTTCGTGGGTTTGGTGGCGTGGGTCTGGGTGGTGGTTGTGGGTGGCCGTTCTAGATCTGGGTGGTTTCGGGTTGTTTCTGGGAAGGTTAAGGTGGTGGGTTCAGGTTAGGTGGGTCTGGTGGATGGGTTCTAGTTAAGCTGGTGGCGTGGGCTGGTGGTGAGGGTGGTGGGAGGCGTTTTTTTTTTTAAAGCAGTTTTTGACGGAATTTCCGTCGGAAATTATCGGCGGATTTGTATTCCATCGGAACTTTCAGACGAAGTTTCCGGTGCCGGAATTCCTCTTCCGATGAAAAAATTCCGTCGGAAAAGGTCGTTTTTCCTACAAGGGTTTTCCGACAACCGGTTCCGACGGAAATTCCGTCGGAAACGGGTTTTCCTACGGAATTCAGGATGATTCCGACGGAAAATGACCTGTTTTCTAGTAGTGACAGTTTTTTGACTATAAAAAATTAGAGGAAATCTTCTAAATTTCTCTCTATATATAAGAACAAACATAGTCACATGAGATCTAGTTTTATTCATCTCAATTAGTATATTATTAATATCTAATTGTTATAATTTTTTCTAGTGTGAGATTAAAGATATTTGCGATTAAAGATTTGCATCGATATACGTAAATAAGATTAACATTAAAATATGAAGGGAGTAGTAATTTATACTCCCTCCGTTCCTAAATATAGGGACCATTTGACTGACTTTTCACAGAATCCAATACGTGTCTTAAAACATCTATATGTATATTTATTTTCATACACGTAAAAATTATAAAAACTTGATATTAATAAAATATACAATGTGACGAATCCAGCTAGATCCTACATGAACATATAATCTTCTATAAATTAACGGAAATTTATGGTCAAAGTTTTCAAGGGAACTATATTTAGGGACGGAGGAAGTACAAAGTATTAGTTAGACTACTTCGTTATTTAGGGATTCAAAGAGTGGGGGTGTTGAATTTTATGGTCAAATGTGGTGTGTTTTACGAAAAGGTCAAATAATGTTGTATAATGCACATATTTTATAGGATGATAAACATAGCCCTAAGGGCTATGAATAAGGAGCCAAAAGTGGTAATATTTGATAAAATCAAGCATTTATTACATTGATTTGCGCGTGAATTTGTCATGAATTTACAAATTATTTCCATTTTAGGAAATATAATAATGGCTTAAACATAGCCCTTAGGGCTATGTATAACGTTACCCTATTTTATATAACATTATTTGACCGCTCCGTGTTTTTTTTTTTTTTAAATTGAAACATTTTGACATTTAGTACTATTTATTTAATTCACTTTGACTAATGTTAATGTTTTTTAGCTAAGAAAAAGTATAATCTTGTTGCTATTTGTTGGAATCATCTTAATAAATATTTTATTAATATTCAATTGTTATAATATTTACTTATCGATAATTAAAGATGTTATTGGTTAAAATTTTGCATTGAACATACATGCCTAAGAGTTCACTTAGAAAAGGGAAGGAGTGTACGGAGTACCTTTTTATAAATGATAAGTATTTTATACTACATAGTAATAGTAAAAAAAATATATATGTGATTTTAAGAGTTGTATCGTATATATTATATTTTTACTTTTATCGAATAAAAAATAGCTATTGTAAACTTAAATATTTGTTGTTTAACTTTTAAGTCATGGGTATTAAGGTTGTGATCAGATCTGATAAGTTCTATTATAGGTGGGTTATCTACGTTCAATTTACAACTTAAAAAGGTCTAATAATAAGGTTGAAGTTTTACTCCGTAATAAATTCGGATAAGATAAGGTAATTAAAAATAAATGTTATTTTATTTTTTTGATACAAAAATTTATTCAAAAATAAAATGTCATACGACATCCACAAATAGATCTAACAAATGCATGATAAATAAATAAAATAAAAAATCCTTTCAGCAAAGCTATGATCGTTGTTGCAAATCCTACATTCTTCATACAATAATACCATTTTTCATATCGTTATGATTTGCAATCTTTTTCGATGAGGTCTATTGATCTGTTGTAATTGTGAAGAACATGCTTGCTCGATTCAAACGTTTGTAATAAAAAGATTAACTTCTTTTTCAATCTCGCATATATTTTTACCCGTGAAACAACTTGTACAATACCAAACAACTGAACTTGAACAAGACCCAACACAATGACACTTACTACACCTGAAGAATGTAGTTTAATTAATATTAATAATGATAAATAAAAAAATAAAGGATCGGTTAAGGGTTGAAAATAGCCAAATTTCCAAAGAAATTTAATTATTTTCGGTCTAAAAAACACTAATTTTAAGAAACCTTAGAGACAGAAAAAGGAAAGAGAATAAGGGAAGACTAAATATATAAACTTGATAATTGAAAGTAATTAATAATTACTATCTTTCAAATAAGTTTAAATTAGATAAGATATGTTCAAATAAATGAAAATCAAGTGAATAGAATGCATCCTAACATGTAGATTATTATTTATATATTAAGGTGGCAGATATTTGTAGGATATAATGATATTAAATTTGAGTTAGTGCAATCAATATCAAGCACACTTAGGACTTTTTCTCCTCACCTTATAATAATAATTAAATTAAATTCAGTTAAATAATTTAATTTAGTAAAAATAAGTTTAGTTCTTTCTTTCAAAAAAGTTTAGTTCAGAAAATATAATTTATTTTCAATAAAAATAAGTTTTAATTGGTAAAAATTGATAACTTTAATAAACAAATATAATAGATAATCAAAAAACAGAACGCTTTGTCAAAGTGGTGTTAAAAAATAAATTAATTGCGAAAATAGTATTTACTAGAAAACATTTCTCAAACTAGTGTCCATGTAGGATTGGAAAATAACCCAAACCTATAATTTATTATTGCTTTGTGTTAAAAGTCTAAATAAAAAATAATTTGGAGAGATGTTATATAGACCCGAGTGAATCGTACACTCATGAGTATTTTGTTCTCATTTTGATGATTGTTTCTTTTAATCATTTCATGAAGAGCGAAAAATAAAGGAAAATTTAACAAGAACAAACCAACTTTTGTCCCGTTCTCCCAAAATGAATCAACTTTTAAATCTGCCCAAAATAAACACAAGTTTGTATTTTTTTTTCTCCCGTAGTGAACCTAGCAGGTCACTTGACCTGTTATAGTAGGTTGCAATCCACGTGTCACGTTCTCATTAGTTAATTTTTTTTAATTTTTCAAATTCTGATAGTTAAAAAAAAATTATTTTTATTT